TTGGGTTGTGTTGGGTGTGTGAGGCCACGTAGGGTCATCCAAGGCCACGCTGGGTTGTGTTGGGGCTGTATGATGCCCCTGTTGGGTCATCCAAGGCCACATTGGGTTGTGTTTGGGCTGTATGATGCCCACATTGGGTCATCCAAGGCCACGTTGGGTTTCATGAAGACACATGGGGCATTCAAGGCCACGTTGGGTGGCGTGAAGCCATGTTGGGTCATCCAAGGCCATGTTGGGTGTATGAGGCCATGTTGGGTCATCCAAGGCCATGTTGGGTTGTGTTGGGGCTGTATGATGCCCATGTTGGGTCATCCAAGGCCACACTGGTTTGCGTGAAGCTACGTGGGGCATCCAAGGCCACATTGGGTTGTGTTGGGTGTGTGAGGCCATGTTGGGTCATCCAAGACCTCATTGGGTTGCGCGAAGATATATTGGAGTGTCCAAGGCCATGTTGGGTTGTGCTGGGGCCGTATGATGCCCATGTTGGGTCATCCAAGGCCACATTGGATTGTGTTGGGCTGTGTGGAGACACGTTGGGTCATCCAAGGCCACGTTGGGTTGCGTGAAGATGCATTGGGTCAGCCAAGGCCGCGTTGGGTTCCGTTGGGCATGTGAAGTCATGTTGGGGCATGCAAGGCCATGTTGGAGCACATGAGACCACATGAGGCCGTGTTGGGGCCATGTGATGCCCATGTTGGGCGTTACGAGGCCACGTGGGTTGTGCAAAGCCATGTTGGGTCATGTAAGACCACATGGGAGGACGTTAGACCACGCGAGGCCGTGTCGAGGCCATATTGGGCATGTGAGGCCTTGTTGGGCCATGTTGGGGCATGTGAAGCCCTGTTGGGCCATGCTGGTCCATGTAGGCATGTGGGGACCGTGTTGAGGGTGTGTTGGGGCATGTGGGGCCATATTAAGGCCATATCAGAACACATGAAGACGTATTGGTCCATGCTGATGCATTGTGGGGCATGTTGGTCTGTGGGACACGTGGGGCCATGTTAGGCCGTGTTGGGCTTCGCTGGCCTTGGCGATGTGTGATGGTGACACATCAACGTGTGGCGGTGACATGTCAGTCGGTGGCGGTGGCCCATCAAATGTGACGGTGACACATCAGAACATGGCAGTGACATGTCAATGTATGGTGGTGACATGTCAAACTGTGGTGACGTCAGCACGTGGTAGTGGCACATGGTGGTGACACATGAACACGTGTTGGTGACAGATCAACGTGTGGTGGTGACATGTCAGCGCATGGCGGTGGCCCATCAACATGTGTTGGTGACGCCTCAACACATGTTGGTGCCACATCAACATGTTGGCGCCCCGTCAATGTGTGTTGGTGCCACATCAACGTGCGGCAGTGCCACGTCAAGACGTGGTGGCACCACGTCAATGCGTGTTGGTGCCACGTCAATGCGTGTTGGCACCCCATCAGTGCGTGACGGTGACATGTCAACGCGTGTTGGTGCCACATCAACATGCAGTGGTGCCATGTCAACGCGTGTTGGTGCCATGTCAACACATGTTGGCTCCCCGTCAACAAGTGTTGACACCCCGTCAACGCGTGACCGTGACATGTCAACGCGTGGCGGTGACACGTCACCGCGCGGCGCTGGTGGGGCCACGCGTGGCGCTGGCGCGGGTCCCGCCAGGGGGCGGCGCAGGGGACAACAAGGAGGAGGACAGCAGCGTCATCCACTACGACAACGAGGCCATCGCGCGGCTCCTGGACCGCAACCAGGACGCCACCGACGACGCCGACGTGCAGAACATGAACGAGTACCTGAGCTCCTTCAAGGTGGCCCAGTACGTCGTGCGCGAGGAGGACAAGGTGGGCGCCTGCGCCGGGGACGTGGGCACGGGGTGGGGGAAAAGAGGGTGATGGAGATGGGGATGACGAAGATGGAGGTGACAGAGATGGGGACAAGGAGGTGACAGAGCTGGGGACGGTGGAGCTGGAGGGGACGGAGCTGGGGACAAGGAGGTG